AAGTATAATTCTAAATACTACTAAAATGTAAAATGTAAAATTGTAACATTCTAAAATTTAACTATGAAAAAGAGTCATACTGTAGAATCTTGCACTTGAAATCAAGAAAGTCAGACATTCTAAGAGAATCCGGAAGAGAGTTCCATAGTTTTGAAGCCATATATGAAAACGAGTGAAGACCATAAGTAGTAGTTTTTGTAGACGGTAGAGACAAAATACAATTTCCGCGTAGACTACAGGATACAGACCAGAAACTAAACATATTCCTTAGATAGCCTGGATAGCAGGCTATCTTAGGAATATTGACCCTTCGCGAGCTCCCTCCAAGTGCGTCTATTATGATGTTCTGCTGCTCAATCTTGTACTCTGGGAATCTCCTTCTTAATTCGTACCGCAGCGGGGCGTACTTGTTCGTCTTCTCCGCACATTTGATCTCTCCATTACTGACCCATGGACAGCTCATTTCAAGTGACACTACTTTCTTCCTCTCCTTGTCTATAACCGTACAGTCTATCCTGTTGTTTCTCGCCTCCGCGTGTTCTGCATATCGTGGTATGTCCCAGAGTGCCTTTCCTCTCTTGTTCTCGTAAAGTGGCTTCGGCATGTTCTGGGAGTACCACGGTGGTACTGTTGTCACTGAGTCTAGGTCTTTCAAGAGTTCGTAGAAAATTACCTTAAATGCTGCATTATGCCGAATCATGTATTTAGACTGGGCTAGCGCTGCACAGCCTGCAAGCACGTGCGCTTGCGTTTCAGCGGCCTTACCACACATGCGGCACTTCACATCCTCACCCGTGTTAGTCCCTGTCTTTTTGTGGTGGTAGACTTTCGTTGGTAGGAGTTGCTGGTATAGTTCCTGCAGTTCCGCTCTGGTGTGAGTCGGTGCCGTCTTCCACTCGCTCATCCAAGATAACCATTCATCTCCAACTTCTTGATCCTCCCACCTCTCAGTTAACAAAAGTCCTTGCCATCCCTCTGCTTTCAGTTCCTCAACATCCCTTTCCTTGGCAGCAGTCTTTAACCACATCCCAATCTTCTCCACAGGTACTTTCAAATCGTTCGGTTAGACATGTGACCAATGGTTGGAGATGCACCAGAGATAAGTTGAGCCCAAACTCAGATGCATATTTCTTGGTGTCCTTCTCCATTGATCGCCGGCCCATCTCTTGTGATCTCTCCTCAGACTGCCTTACTACCTTCACAGCGGGATCTTCATTAGTATAGAGTCTTACTGCAGCCTTAACCTTAACTTGCTTGTACTCTCGTTCGACACTCTTCAGCCCACGGCCCCCAAGACCCCTCGGTAGATATACTAGGGCTGTAGACCCAAGAGGGTGCTTGCCCCCATTCTCAACGATAACCTTTCTTGCTTCTCTGTCCAGCCTCTTGAGTTCCGCTACGGGCCAGCACTGGGTGCATGGGCATCAAGTAGCTTAGCACCGGCATCGCAAATTGATATTATTTGGTCGTGGGTTCAAGTCCCATCTGGGGTTCGGATTTTTCTATTACATTAAAATTGTTTCATCTTCACATTATTATTATCATTATTATTATTATTATTATTATAATCCCTAAGGATGACCAGCATTCAATTTCTCCCTACCATAATGTCACTGCCTTGAATAAAAAATTGACGTCACTCTAAAGAATAAAGGAAAGAGGAAAACTGTTGATTGGTAAACAAATTCTCTTTGTCAGCAACCTAGAAAATGCATTGAAAACGGTCTGGAGAATATTCATACTGATGTTAACGTGTAAATTAAGAGGAGTGATCCGGCACTCCGCTATATGCACAGCCCTCGTCCTCCCCACCTCACAGTTTTCTGGAAAAAAATAAGAAGGAAGACTGGAGAGAATGAGAGGAAGTTTGGTTGTGTTTACTGAGAGATATTTGTAAATTGATAAATTCCACAGAGTGGAGGTAGATAAAAGAGGGCAACTCTCCGGGTGATTCGGCTCTGCCCCTTTTCACCTCTATAATCGTGTAACTGTGCACGCCCTCTGTTTTCGAAGCTCAAGTCGTTCACCTCCTTTGGTTTTTCAGACAAACAAACAAATAAACAAAGAAAATCCACAGTTCAGCGTGCACTAAGTTTTCTTTAATTGAAGGCTTGGTGGATATTTTGATCACTTGGATTCATTCATTTGTCTATCAGTATGCTGCAGAGAGGCATTCAATAGTCGTAGTTGTATCGTAAGTTTCCTACCTTCCCAGCATATCTGCATCTTTCCTCTCATCTCTCAGCGAGAGAATTTACGTCCGGTCACGTCACTAACATATTTTTGGTCAAAATACCATTGCTTTGATCGCCTTAACTAGCGGCCTCTTCTGTTACTCATTTTTCCATTTTTGACATCCAAGCTGAGCCGAAGATATTGCATCGCTGATAGAAGACAGCGTTTATAACCCAGACAATATCCAATATTATACAACAACATCTCCGCCCATTGGCTACCCCATGTATTGTTGGGGCTTCACTGATAAACCATAAATTAAAAGGATTTATTTTGTCGGCGGCTTTTGCATATGATTTTCTACTAATTTGCATATCTCAAGTACCTTGCGTAGGTAGTCAATTCATATCTTCATGTCCGCTCGCCGCGTGTAGTTCGTATGTAGTCAAATCCCCGGAGCTTACGTTTCAGCATTTGGCGCCAATCTTCATACTTTCGGTCGTACAATCTTCCAGAGCTATTTCCGTACTAAAGTGGTATCTGTTTTGGTGCGCGATTTCTATTTGCGTGATTCTACAGTGTGACAAGCGACAAGATTCGAGGCGATCGTGAAGGAAATCATGCCAAAATAATTCAGAGAAACACACGGCTTTAAAAGGTAAGTTATTTCCTCTTTCGTTTATTGACATTTCTACGTTATAACTCTTGAAAAATGACTCTTAGAGCTGTTACTGATGTGCATTGGACTTGGAGCGCGCGGACAGAATACTAACGAAACATGTAAACAGTAGTCAGCTTTGTCCCATATGGAAATCAAAATTTCTGTTTTTGGTAAACAAGTCGGTTTTCTGTTCTCCAGATCAAAGACCTTAGAATGCAAATACCTTTTGAGTAACACACGGTCAAACAATGAAATCCCTCTGCTATGAA